CCTGCTCCTCCTCCTCCTCTTCCTCCTCCTCCTCCTCCTCCTCCTCCTCCTCCTCCTCTCCTCCTCCGTTTGGAAGCGGTCGAAACCCTCAGCGTTGAACGTTCGGCGCATCGCGTGCCACGCGTCAGCGCGAGGCCAGTCTGGGGCTTGGCATCCTTTCGATAGGCTCGCGAGGCCGTCGACTTCGGCCTGGTTGTCGGGAAAGACAGCGGAAGGCCTGTCGGCCACGGCAACGACGTGCAGAAGCGCTTGGACGTCGGCGCGTTGGGCGTTTTGCGCAAGGCCGCAACGCCGGACAGCGTAGTTGATCTGACGCCAGCGTCGTAGACCGCAAAGATAGCCCTTGTCAGGAGCATGCGGGCCTGACAAGCGCAGGCCCCGTCCGTGGCCGCGTAGATCCACGCGCGCCACGTGTCCCGGTCCGTGTAGTCGCGGTGGGCGTGGGGGTCGGCGTCTGGCTCCCAGCGAGGCCGCGGTTGCGGTGGGTTGTGCCCGAGGTCGCGCTGCGGTCCTCGTCGACCAGGCCGCAATGTCGCGCGAGCGGCGGGAGCCGTTCCCTCGATTCGGCAGAGCGCGTCATTGCGAAACCCGGAACGGGGAGCACCGCTCGCGCGACTGGGACGCCCTCGCCTCCTCCCCCACGGCGTAGGGGGGGGGGCGAGCACTTCGTGGGGGGCGCACCGTGGTCCTGTTCATTGGCGAGTCGCGCGCGCAGCCAGGTTGAGTTCCGTAGTGGCCGCGCCCAGCGCCACATGGAGAAAGGTGCCGATCAGCTTGATCGCCGCCTGCACGCGCAGCGGGGCGTACATCCAGGTCAGATCCGCCACCTCTGCGTGGAACTCGCTAGTCCCGTGCCTCCACTTCGGCGGGGTGGATTTTCTGGCACGAGTTCCCGCCATTCCCGTGGAAAGTCCCTCCGCTGGTTGAGGCGTCCTAAGGCATTCCTTGTTAATGAATCTTGGCGTGTCCTTCGGGAATTCCTTGGATTCTCTTTGAAATTCCGTAAGAGCTGGTTTCTTGAGAAGTTCTGCCATGTATTTTCAGATTTCCAACATATCCTTCAGCAGGGAAAATCTTTGCGAAGTCTCACTCGGGAGGCCCGCCAGGCAAAGCTTGCATGGACGTGCAGGGGTCCCAAGGAAGAATTCTAGGCAGCGCCCCGCCGAGCCTCTCCCCAATCCGGTCGGAGAGAGAAGGGGAGGTCGCCGAATCTGTATGGCGCGCATCGAGGAGAGGCGTCGCCCTCTTCCCTGCGTCGCCTGGAAGCGGACGAGCTTAACCCTGCCCGCCCCGTGACGGTAGTCGGCAGCGGCGAAAGAGAGAGAGAGAGAGAGTGACAGAGAAAAAGAGAGAGAGAGAGTGAGAGATCGGGAGAAAGCAGTAGGGTTGAAGTGCAAGGGAACTCGTCAGCGTCCCCCCCCCCCTGCCGAGCGCAAGAATGTCGTCAATATTCGCCCCTCTCAGGCGAGATCGAGCCCCTCCACGTCGTCCACGCAGCAGGACGCGACCAAACGTAGCCCTTCCGAGGAGGAGGAGGAGGAGGAGGAGGAGGAGGACGGGGAGGAGGAGGACGGGGAGGACGGGGAAGAGGGGTATGAAGAAAGGAGTAAAAGAAGGTGGGCGAGGAGGAGGTGGAGGTGGGAAAAGAAAGAGAGCGAGAGAGGAAAAAAAACATCTCCATATTGACCTTGGAGCGAATGAGTTGTGGAGGGGGGCAGGAGGAGCGGGAGGAAAAGGTCGCAGAGGAAGATGAAGCGGAGGAGAAGGATGGATCGAAGGGAGAATGGGAGGAGCAGGGATATGGGAGGCAAGCATCCACAGCAGTCGCAGCAGTTGCAGTAGGAGTCGGCATACCTTGCACTTCGGACCAAGACAGCTGCCTCAATGTCGCGATGCGGTGCGGTTCGTCCTCCTCACCCCCGATATCATATGCACGTATAATGTCGAAGACGCCCCCGGCGAATCATCGTTGCACCCTGCTTTTTGAAAGCACCTATGTGGCCGAATGTTGTGGTCAGAGCTCGGCCAAGGTATCGGATCATTTGTTCCCCCAGCCGTTGTGGACACGTTTCGGGGAGCACGCTGGGGAGAAGGAAGAACAGGAGGAGAGATCTCTTCGGGCGTTCCTGGAGGCTCTCTCGGAGACCTCTTGGGGGCCTCCTTGGGCCGTTTTGAGCTATTTGGGGGCCATATTGGGTGCATCTTGGGCCGTCTTATAAACTCCTGACGTTCAATGATGTTGGTCTCTTGTGTAGTTCCAACATGTCCACAGCACTGTAAACTCTTCGCATACAAACCTGTCGCAAGATACACGACGCACAACTCACATCCTTTTGGTTACAGATTTCAGAGCATACCCATTTTGAGGGCACCCCTGATCCTGTCCGTCTCCGGCTCATCTGCCCACCCCAGCGTGCGAGCCGTGCTAATGATTGGCACCCTCTTCACACTAGACGCTCCTGTCTTAAGGGCTGCAGGACGGCGCCGTCACGAACGACACCTGCTTCCGACAGCGCAGCGATTGCGACACCGCAGGCTGAGCCAGCGACGTAGCAGGGATTGCTTCCGGAAAAGGGAGGAGACAAACTGATGGGCCAGCCCCGAGGACCCACAAGATGGCCCCAGGGGCCTCCTGTGAAGGCCCGAGGACAACCTCCTGCGACCAGCTTAGGGCATGTGGGAAGTGCGGATCCCCTCCTCCTCCTCTTCCTCATCATCCTCCTCCCCCTCCTCCTCCTCGGCCTCAGCCTCGGCCTCGACCTCCTCCTCATTCTCCTTCTCCTCCTATTCCTCCTCCTCCTTCTTCTCCTTCTCCTCCTCCCGCTCCCCAGGCCTCCTGGAACAATCGGGCTGCGAACTCCAGAAGCAGCTGGAAGTGCCCAGGAGCGCACAGGATTCCGTCAGTTGGGGGCCTGGGGCCTTCAAAGGGAATTCATCACGTTCTTCAGCACGTTCTTTAGTGACGACGATTGAGTGTTTGTGGGCAGTCCACTCTGCTTGACGACGAGATGGCGGACATGCGCCGCCATGGAGTTCAATATTGTACTCAAGAGGTTTGCGCCATCCCGCCGATTTCTTGCAGAGGAAAAATGCGGCTTTCGAAATCGCATGCGCTGTTTACCAGATACCCTCGTGTTGTTTGCGTGTAGTTGTTTCTTGCGCGGCACCCTCTTCATCCGTGTCTGTTGTGGGGCCTATTGGAGGCCACCTCATCCTCCTCCTCAATTTCTTCCTCCTCCTCCTCCTCCTGCTCCTCCGCGTCCACGCCCAACAAAAAGCCCCCCCTCTGTGATTGCGCATCACACGGTTGTGGGCGAAATTCCGCCGAACCGTTGAGGTTAGTTAGGTTCACGTTTGCCAGGCTTATTCCGACACGTGTGCCTCACAGCATCAGTTGGCAATTTATGTTTTCATTGTGCACGGCGTGAGACGGCGCACGCGTGAGTTAATTGCCGTGGTGCATTGACACATGCGCATACTGTGTTGTCATACTCGTGTAAGAGTCGTTACTCATCTTGACATGCGTTCTCAGAGGTATACAGTCACCCTGCTGTGTTTCCCACAGATGAAAGACAATGTTGTTACAGCGCGCCATGACAGGCGGGATGTGGAGGCCGCCAGGTGCCGTGCAAGGAAAGGGCCCGAGACCAGATCTTGCGAACGCATTGGCCTGTCGGTTGGCTGCGTTTTTACCATGGATGTTGACGAAGTTGATTTGAGGCACAAGCCCCCTCCATTTCTCTTCCTCCGTCGAGTGAAGCTGTGATCGGGGCGCCTCCAGGGCAGTGTCGCCAGCTCTAGCGCACGGTCCCACACCTTGTTTTGTTTCCTGCGCACGCTTTCCTCCACTGATGGGCGCGTTCCACCCCGCTACGGAAAGGAAAACAGGAGGAGGAGGAGGAGGAGAAGGAGGAGGAGAAGGAGGAGGTAGAGGAGAAGGTAGAGGAGGAGTTAGAGGAGGAGGAGAAAAAGGAGGAGGAGGAGGAGGAGAAGGAGGAGGGAGGAGCAGGGAGGAGAAGGAGGGAGGAGGAGGAGGAGGAGGAGGAGGAGGAGGAGGAGGAGGAGGAGGAGGAGCAGGGAGGAGCAGGGAGGAGGAGGGGGCAGGGGGAGGAGGAGATGAGGGGGGAGGGGGAGAAGGTGGAAAAGGAGGAGCCCCTTGCCTGGGCTCCCCGCCCTCGCGAGCCTGCGGCCGCGGCCGCGGCCGCCGCCAGCCCGTGGACGACGCGGCCGAGAAGGCCGAGGAGCGCCCAGGGTTTCCTTCGAGCGGCAGTCGGGTGGCAGAGGCGGCTCACGCGCTCGGAGGCTCAGACGCCCCCGCAGTCGAAGATCAGAATGAACAAGTCGAAGAACGAAAATTGGAATGAGCATTCGGAGGTTGATAGACCTCCTACCCTGACACGTCGATTAGCGAATTGGCCGTTTTCGGTTCGCGAGAGGGGGTCGCGGCCGTCATTTTTGCGGGTCCAGGTCCGTCGGTTTCGGTCCTAGGCCGTTTTCACTAAAGGGTGGTTTATTAAAGGAAGGTTTGTCCTCCGCGCTGATTTCGTGGATCGGCTCTGGGGCCCCATTGGCGGCGCTTCCGGCGCTGCTCCTGGCGCGCTCCGCGCGCCAGCGATGGGAGCTCAGCGCGGATCCAAGAAGCCCACGCGAACCCACGAGAAACTATTTGTATGACGGCAGTCGTTCTCTCGATAGGGGTTCGGGGTGGGGTTCTGGTGTTCGAGCCCCTCTTCAGAGCTACTCCAGGGGCTCACTCGTGGCGGAGGCTCGCTGTGACAACGAAAGTCCCTTCGTCCCTTATCTCGCCCCCCTGACGGTGGCACGATGGCTGTAGCATTAAGTCGGGCTTGTCCCTCTACAGGAGGAACATTCAAAAATTATCAAAAAATAGTCTCGGGACGATTTTGTTATTATTTCCTAGCATTTGGGGAGCATCTGTTGAGTATGTTTAATTGTTGTCGCTTCGCGAATCCCCACCAGCCCATCCAGAAACGATGCCCAGAGGAATTGCCTCGATCAGAGAAGTGGGCAGCACACAGAGGAAGCCATTATGAGACATCTTGGGATATCTTGAGCCATCTTGGAGGTCATTTTGGGCTCTCCCAGACGCTCTTGGAGTCATCTTAATCCGTGCCCCCCCCCAAGAGGCCTCCATGTGGCTAAAACCTGTGTAGAATCAATGATTAGGCATTCTCGCCGAGGCCTCTTGGAGCATCTTGGGTGCATCTGGGGGGGCTCTTGGGGCCTCTTGGGGGTCTCTTGGGGGCCTCCGGGGGGCCTCTTGGGGGCCTCTTGGGGCCATTTTGGGGCCATCTTGGGACCTCTTGGGGCTTCCTGGGCGCTTCTTGGGGCCATCTTGGAGGAGATCGATCAAACAAGAGGGGGGGTTTAATTAGCGCCCCCCCTCGGAAGCCCCTAAAATCGCCTCTTGGACCCCTCTTGGAACGCTCTTGGAGTGCTCTTGGGCGCTCTTGGGGCCGTCTTGGGGCTCTTTTGGGGCTCTCTTGGGGCCCTCTTGGGCCATCTTGGAGCCATCTCCAGGCCTCGGATGGCCATCGGAAGCGAAAAGGCGAGAAAGCAAAAATCATTGATTTTCCTTAGGTTTTGGGACGATTTTGGCCTCTTCGGGGCCTCCTTGGGGAGCTGTTTGGCCACTTGGAGTTATCTTGGGGCCGTCTTTGGGCTTCTTGGAACCATCTTAGGAGCCATCTCGAGCGATCTTGCGCTATCTTGAGCCATCTTGGAGCTCATCTTGGGTTCTCTGAGGCGCTCTTGGAGCCGTCTTGGGCCATCTGGGACGCTCTAACTACCAGCGGCCCCCCCCGTCCAGGTCCAGGGGAGGGGGTAGGGGGAGGGGTAAACCCCTCCCCAAGGGGGAAGAGGGAGGGGTGGAAGAGGATCTGTTCTAGACCACCTACGCCCAGAGGGCTGGTGGGATTCTTCGCCTAAAATCCCCCTGTATGGGGGACAGGCCCGACCTAACTGTAGCAGCTGCGTGCAGCGCAGGGCGCGGTCCTCTCGTTTGCGGCCCCGCCGCGGGGGCGGCATGCGCGCACATGCCCACTGGGGCCGCCAGGTGGAGCTCCCTGTGGGAGCACGGCTGCGTGGTCCTGCATTCGGCCACGCGCAGAGGGAGGGAAAGGGGAGGGGGGGAGGATTTCGTAGAAGCACCCCTGCTTCTTCCGGGTTGACCCCAAAGGGGGTCCAGCGGCAAGGGGGTGGTGCGATAGATTTGGTGCAACAGGTTCGTGGGGTTGCAATACATTTGGGACGTGCAATACGTTTCGGGGCGCAGGTGTATTGCTGGATTTTTGCGTGCGATACATTACTTGCAATACAATGCAACACAATTCTCCGGCGCAGTACATTTGCAATACAATTGCTCCAAATCTATTGCACCACCCCTTTTCAGTTGGACCCCCTTTTGGGTCACCCAACCCAAATTCTTAGAAGGCGCGGGCCTTATCTATAGATATAAGGCCGGCGCCTTCTGAGAAGCAGCCCCCTTCCAAGAAGCCCTCCCCTCTCCCTCCACCCATTTGTGCGCGCCGCCACTTGATGGGAGCCTTCGGGCTCCCGAAGTTGCGTCGGATATGGTCGAAATCTGGACGGCATCTGGAAGAACGGGTGAAGAGGGGCGGTCGAAGATTGGAGGAAATCCGGTCGAAGTCACGTTCATGACGGGGCCACGAAGGTCCACAGAGGTTCCCACGAAGGCTCACCCAGGCACGGAGCGTGCGAGGAGTATGCCACAGCGGGCACGCGGCGGCACATGCGCGCGCGCCCACTGCGCGGATCACGTGAAGGCTGCGCCCCAAGGAGCGCGCCACGGCGTACGCTAACACGAAGCGTAATGAAACAGGGTGCGGCGGAACAGGCGCGGAGAGCGGCGTGCGCGCACAGCCATGAAGGCCGCAGGTGGAGCTCCCTACGGGGGCACGAAGCGGGTAAGGGATGCGCCGAAATGGGTTTCCTCTTCCGCCTCCTCCTCCTCTTCCTGAGGAGAGTCTCCTCTCCGGCTTCAGTCCAGGACACCCGGGACACCCGGGACACCCGCGGGTGTCCCGCGGGACACCCAGGACACCCGGACCCGGGACACCCGGGACACCCAGAGCTCCCGGAGCACCCGGGACAGGACACCCGGGACACCCGGAACACCCGGGACATCCTGAACGCCCAGAGTACCAGGAGCATCTGGAGCACCCTGGCGAACACCTGGAGCCACAGCACGCGCGGAGCCAGAGCGCGGAGCCACAACACCCGCCGTTTGCTGCTGCCGCGGCGTACACCCACCCACACAATGGGGAGGTAGAGGGGAAGCGTTCTGTACACAATGCCAGCCACGGACGACAAGGGCTCCCGTTCGAGACTTCTCACGATATTCCTCTTCTTATTCCCAACCATCCTGTGGTGTTGGGTCCTCGTTTTGAAGAGACAGCGCCCGCTCCCGCTCCCGCTCCTCCTCCCCCTCCTCCCTCCTCCCTCCTCCCACCATCATCATCGTCATCATCCTCCATTTCGGCACACCCCTCACACGTTTCGTGGCCCCATAGGGAGCCCCACCGAAGGCCCCAGTGCTGCCGCCCGCATGCGTCCCGCACACCCAATTCGGCACACCCCTCACACGTTTCGTGGCCCCATAGGGAGCCCCACCGAAGGCCCCAGTGCTGCCGCCCGCATGCGTCCCGCACACCCAATTCGGCACACCCCTCACACGTTTCGTGGCCCCATAGGGAGCCCCACCGAAGGCCCCAGTGCTGCCGCCCGCATGCGTCCCGCACACCCAATTCGGCACACCCCTCACACGTTTCGTGGCCCCATAGGGAGCCCCACCGAAGGCCCCAGTGCTGCCGCCCGCATGCGTCCCGCACACCCAATTCTGCACACCCCTCACACGTTTCGTGGCCCCATAGGGAGCCCCACCGAAGGCCCCAGTGCTGCCGCCCGCATGCGTCCCGCACACCCAATTCGGCACACCCCTCACACGTTTCGTGGCCCCATAGGGAGCCCCACCGAAGGCCCCAGTGCTGCCGCCCGCATGCGTCCCGCACACCCAATTCGGCACACCCCTCACACGTTTCGTGGCCCCATAGGGAGCCCCACCGAAGGCCCCAGTGCTGCCGCCCGCATGCGTCCCGCACACCCATCGGCACACCCTCACACGTTTCGTTAGGGAGCCCCACGCAGGCCCCACCCAATTCGGCACACCCCTCACACGTTTCGTGGCCCCATAGGGAGCCCCACCGAAGGCCCCAGTGCTGCCGCCCGCATGCGTCCCGCACACCCAATTCGGCACACCCCTCACACGTTTCGTGGCCCCATAGGAGCTCCACCGAAGGCCCCAGTGCTGCCGCCCGCATGCGTCCGCACACCCAATTCGGCACACCCCTCACACGTTTCGTGGCCCCATAGGGAGCTCCACCGAAGGCCCCAGCGGCGGCGCTCACATGCGCATGCGTCCCGCACACCCATTTCGGCACATCCCTCATCATCCACCGGAGGCCCCAGTGGCGGCGCTCACATGCGTCACCCACACCCACCCAATTCGGCACACCCCTCACACGTTTCGTGGCCCCATAGGGAGCTCCACCGAAGGCCCCAGCGGCCGCGCTCACATGCGTCCCCGCCACCCATCCCGGCACGCCCCTCACAACAACAGGTTTCGTGGCCCCATAGGGAGCTCCACCGAAGGCCCCAGTGGCACCGCCCGCATGCGTCACCACCCGCACCCAATTCGGCACACCCCTCACACGTTTCGTGGCCCCATAGAGAGCTGCACCGAAGGCCCCAGTGGCGGCGCTCACATGCGTCCCCGCCACACATCCCAGTACACCCCTCACGCGCTTCGTGGCCCCATAGGGAGCTCCACCGAAGGCCCCAGTAGCGGCGCTTACATGCGTCTCCGCCACCCATCCCGGCCCCCCCCCCGCAGCAGCATCATGTTTCGGGGACCCATAGGGAGCTCCACTGGAGGCCCCAGTGGCGGCCCGCACATGCGTTTCCGCCACCCATGTCGGCACGCCCCGCGCGTGTTTCATGTCCCCATAGGGAGCTTCGCCGAATGCCCCAGTGGCACCCATCCCGGCACACCCCTCACACGTTCCGTAGTCCTATGGGGAGTTCCCTTGAAGATGAAACCCGCAGCTGCGGTACTGACAACTGCATATGGTTGGGTTCTTCGCCAGGCTAATATTTCTATGAACCCGGGCGGGGGGAAAACCCATCATCCCCCCCCCAAAAA